ATATAGTATTTTTGATGCTGGTTATGAAAACAGTTTGTAACTCGTCTTCCTATAAACCATATTTTTTTACCATATTTTCTTAGTATACTCGTCGACGACTGAAAAAGAAAATTTTGTGAAAACGAGTATACACGTTTCTGCCGGGGAAGGGGTTAATGACCTAAATGAAAATCATCAGCTTTAGTGTTACAAACATTCAAGCAATTTCATTTCCATTACAGGTCCCCATGGAAGGGACTATTATTTATATATGTTATCTAACAATGTATGATAATCTCTGAATTATAAATTTTTTTAAATTTTTAATATAATTTTGACTTTAAAGAGGAGGAGAGAGGAAGAGAGAGGGAGAGAGAAACATCAATGATGAGAGAGAATACACAAGTCCTCCACTGAGGATCAAGCCCAAAATCCAGGAATGTGCCCTGCCTGAGAATCGAACTGTGACCTCCTGGTTCATAGGTCAAAGCTCAACCACTGAACGCACACCAGCTGGGATCTATTTTTATTTTATAGGTCAAATAATTTAAAAAATAATAATACTAACTCTGGTCATCCTAAAACATTAAGAACATTTTCAAATTTAAGCATTAAATATCATTTTTGCTGAAGAGATACAATTTTAAAAAATGTACAGAGACAAGAGCAAGTGACCAATTTGTGCTAAATCTGGGAATATTTTGAATGGATATATAGAGATATACTGTTATAAAGTTGAAAATAGATTTTTTTAAGTCCTTAAACCTTATGATCCTATATAATAATCCTATATAATAAAAGGCTAATATGCAAATTGACTGACCGGCAGAACGATCCGTCACTATGACACACAATGACCACCAGGGGGCAGACACTCAACATGGGAGCTGCTCCCTGGTGATCAGTGCGCTCCCACAGGGAGAGCACCACTCAGCCAGAAACCAGGCTCACAGCTGGCAAGCACAGCAGCGGTGGTGGGAGCCTCTCCCTCCTTAGCAGCAGTGCTAGGGATGTCCGACTGCTGGCTTAGGCCTGCTCCCTGGGGAGCAAGACTAAGCCAGCAGTCGGACATTCTCCCAAGGGCACCTGGACTGCAAGAGGGCGCAGGCCAGACTGAGGGATCCTCCTCCCTCCACCCTGCCACCGAGTGCATGAATTTTGTGCACCAGTCCTCTAGTTTTTAAATAAAAGTATTAACTAAATTAAGGAACAAAAAATACAAATAGCAGAACAGAATTCTCTAGCTAACTTAAACACATAAATGAAGGAACAGAGTATTTTGATATAAATAAGGAAAAAGCATGCAAGTTGAGATTTACCTTGAAAAAATGGAACCCATCTTTAGCAGAGAATACCATATTATACTAGTTTTTTTCTTCATGTTTATAGATGTAATATTATAGGAAACATGACTTACCTTTTACTTTAGTTATGTGATAAAACACATTATAATAGCATTAAATATTAATAATTCTACAACACTGAGTTGTTATGTGTCAAACATATTTCATTCAATAATTCCTACATATACTTAACCCTTTTCTTCCCTAATAACAAATACGTTGTTTTTAACAATCAAATGAATACTGGTAAGTTTTCAATGTAACCCAGAAAGTTACTCCCTCACTTCAGATGCTAGGTGAAGATTTTCTTCTATCATTTAAACAGCAAGCAAATTAAATAGTACATAAACATATTGAATTGTTGGTCATATATAGATTCATTTCACTTTCTCAGAAAAAAATTCTTGTCTGAATTTTAAAAATGAATGTTGAGCACTCACCGACTGCATGTTTACTCCAACCTGTTGAAAAACCATCCTAATTAGGCGCTTAATCCAGCCAAGCATTTAGATGGCAAAGTGTCTCCAAATTTGCATTTCAAGTACTTCAGGTGTACATAGCAGCACATGGTCCATAAAAAACACTAGAATTTTAAAATGCAAATATTAAAATGAAATAATTATTTAGAATCTTTACTGTCTGCAATGTTTCACAAAATAAGTCTAGTTTAAAACATTTTAAATTGTGTCTAAATTTACTTAAGAGAAAACCAATACTGCTTATAATCAACTTTGAGTCAACTAATGGTACAATTTTTTGAAGTTGTTTTTAGAAACAACAAAAACCTACTTATGGCTAATTTAAGTAGGAAATATATTTATAAAAATATATCTAGTAGATTACAATCTTACCAGAACCTGAGTTATAGGCTACACAGCCAGGAAAGACATCCAAAACTGCAGCAGAATTGGTCCTGGGAAGATACCACTGCTACTGCCACCCCTGACAGAACAGAATCTATCAGGTCCCACTTTTGTCTCACTAGCTCTTGAGTTGCTTCCCATACAGGTGGCATTTGCTTGGCTAAATCTACCCAGCTATAGTTATAAGCAGGTTCTGCCACCCACCAAAAATCATAAAGGATTTTCAGAAATATGAAAAAGGAATTCAGATGCTAGGAGGTAAAATAACAAAAGTCCTTTCACACTTATTCGCACACTGTAACCCCAGCCACTCACCCCTCCCCATCAATTTACTGTATATCTGATAGAATTACATTGTTAATTCATAAGGTATAAACCAGTTTACTAATAGTGTTGGTCTCTAATGAGACAAGAAGTTTGCACCAGACTATAAATCAATGCAGTGCTTCCCTATCAAGGCAGTCTTGCTAAACTGAACAAAACAAAACAAAACAACAGCTGAACAAAACAGTGTACTTAGTGATATAAAGAGTTTGTGATATAAAGAGTTCTACACTTTGAGAAGAACTTTATGAACAATTACAGAGGATGGAGGGGGAAAATAAAGGTGCCACTGTACACCAGACACTGGGTAAAATGAACTGAAAAGAGCCAGGCCCTAATGTTAGGGGATAGTATGCAATAGATTCTAAGCACTGTCAGGTATGTATAACTTATAGGCAATTATGAAACAGTCATTACTAGAATTTTGATGACACATATATTTTAATATTACAAACATCTATTACTGCCTATAAGAATGAATACTTTCTCAGAATTAATGGGAATAAAAAGAGTAAAGGGTTAAAAATGTCAAGGCTGAAAATGACTCACAAAATGGTCAGAGAAAAAGAATGTCTTTATGTAGAATTTGAAAAGCTACCCCTTCAATTTTTTTAAAAACTTGAGATACATCACTTCTTAGCCTTTTGGCTAAGATCAAGTGTAAAAAAGGTGGGATATAACTTAAAGTGCACGAATTTTAAATGTCCAGCTTGATGACTTTTTATATATGTTTTATAAACCTGTACAGCTACCACCCACATCCTATCTAATAAAAGCATAGTATGCAAATTATCCCCTTGACCGGGAGTTCTTCGGGGTGTTCGACCAGGGGGCAAGGCCAGCCGGTACATATGACGCACATTAGCTTGACTCGTGCATGTGCGATACATAAAAAGCTCTTGCTGGCGCCAATTGCATGCGTGTTTCGATTTGTCGTTGTTGATCGTGAATTGGGTTGTTTTTGTTGACATTCTGAAGCTGAAAGAAAGCAGCAGCATCGACAGAATATGTCTGAAGACCAACTACTGGCACAACGTATCTCTGAAGCCAGCTAAGTACTCTAGTGTTTGGATAGCAGTTTTCATTTAGGAATGGATATTATTGAAATCACCCATAAAATGATTTGTAACAGATCTATTATTGAAGCTACCTTTGGAAATAGTATATTTAATGATAATATTAAATATATCTAAATGTGCGATTCTTTGTCCTGAAAATGAGCACGTTCATAAATTAAATGAAGAAATTTTGGATATACTAGATGGAGATTTTCATACCTATTTGAGTGACAATTCCATCAATTCAACAGATGATTCTGAAAAGGAAAATTTTCCCATCCAATTTCTTAATAGTATTACTCCTTCGGGAATGCCTAATCATAAATTAAAATTGAAAGTATGTGCACTTATCATGCTGAGAAATCTTAATAGTAAATGGGGTCTTTGTAATGGTACTAGATTTATTATCAAAAGATTCTGACCTAACATAATCGAAGCTGAAGTATTAACAAGATCTGCGGAAGGAGAGGTTGTTCTGATTCCAAAAATTGATTTGTCCCTGTCTAACACTGGCCTCCCATTTAAATTAATTCAAAGACAGTTTCCTGTGATACCAGCATTTGTGATGACTATTAATAAACCAAAGGACAAACTCTAGACAGAGTAGAAATATTCCTACCTGAACCTGTTTTCGGACATGGTCAGTTATATGTTGCTTTCTATCGAGTCTGAAGAGCATGTGATGTTAAAATTAAAGTTGTAGCCCTAATTGGTTTGGCTCAGTGGATAGAGCGTCGGCCTGCGGACTGAAAGGTCCCAGGTTTGATTCCGGTTAAGAGCATATTCAATTTATCACTCATTGTTTTTATCAATGTTTTTATATAATGTTTTTGTTTTTATGTCATGTTATTGTTTCTAAATCATCTCTTTGTTGTTATATCATGTTGTTATTGTATATTAACCAATTTATATATTATTTTCATATACATTTTACTAATTTTCTTTCATCTCTGACACTTCTATTATAGAGAAAGGACAAATAGCGATGTTAAAATATTTCTTCTAATTAATTTCCTTTCAATGTGCACAAATCCATGCACCAGGCCATTAGTTAGGATATAAGCTCCCTGGAAATAAAAGAAAACTTAAAAAAAAAAAAGATATAAACTCCCTGGGGCCTCTTCCCAGGGAACATTCATGCCTCATCTATCTAACCACTATCATAACTTTACAAGCTTATATTAGATTCTGTTGTAGGGGCTGGTAAACTATAAATTAGAAATAGGGCCCAGCCAGTGTGGCTCAGCAGCTGAGCATAGACCCAGGAATTAACAGTTTGCTGGTCAAATTCACAGTCAGGCCACATGTCCTGGTTGAGGGCTTGGTCCCCACTAGGGGGCGTGCAGGAGGCAGCCAATTGATGATGTTCCTCTCAACGATGTTTCTATCCCTCTCCCTTCCCCTCTCTAAAAATCAATAAAAACAAATATTTTAAAAAATAGGGGAAGTTCTTAATCTGGCACCAAAATATTAGAATAAAACTTTTTAATTACCTAAATAAGAAAAATCATCAGATCTTAAAGGGTTTACACACAAACCCATTTGCTCCAAGCGCTTGCACAGAGGCAGCAGATTAAGAAGCTCCTGGGTCGCCCTAGCAGGTTTGGCTCAGTAGATAGAGCATCGGCCTGCAGACTGAAGGTCCCGGGTTCGATTCTGGTCGGGGGCACATGCCTGGGTTTCAGGCTCAGTCCAACATGCAGGAGGCAGCCAATCGGTGGTTCCCTCTCATCATTGATGTTTCTGTCTCTTTCCTCTCCCTCTCGGAAATCAATAAAGATATACTTTTTTTTAAAAAGGAAGAAGAAGAAGCACCTGGGTCTTACAAGGAATTAAAGTGACTAACTTCAGGGCAAGGGCTGTAGAGTCAGGGACAGTAGGGGGGAAAAGCACTATTTCAAGAAAAAAAAATTTCCGTAATCTGGCAAAAAAAAATAAATTGACACAAGTCTAGGAAATAATCCCAAACAAGATGAACTCAAAGATCCACACCAACATCATAATTAAAATGCCAAAAATTAAAGAAAGAATATTAAAAGTAGCAAGAGAAATGCAACTAGCTACAAACAAGGGAGACCCCCATAAGAAAATCAGATTTATCAACAGAAACTTTGCAGACCAGAAGTGAATGGCAAGATATATTCAAAGTGATGAAATGAAAGTACCTACACCCAATAATACTCTCCTGAGCAAGATTATCATTCAGAATTTTTTAAAGTTTACTTTTATTGACTTCAGAGAGGAAGGGAGAGGGAGAAAGAGATAGAAACATCAATGATGAGAGAGAATCATTGATCGGCTACTTCCTGCATGCCCCCACTGGGGATTAAGCCTGCAACCCAGGCATGTACCCTGACCTGAAATTGAACCATGACCTCCTGGTTCATAGGTCAACACTCAACCACTGAGCCACACCAACCGAGGATAGTTTCCCAGACAAGCAAAGGTTAAAGGAGTTTATTACTACTAAACCAGCATGTTAAAGGGACTCCTTTAAGGGAAAAAGAAAAGGTCAAAACTTAAAAAAAAAAAAAAATATCGGGAAGAAAAAAATCTCACTGATAAAAGCAAATAGTAAAAGTAGATCAACCAATCATAAAGCTAGTAAGACGGTTAAAAGGCAATAGTAGCCCTAACCGATTTGGCTCAATGGATAGAGCATCGGCCTGCGGACTGAAAGGTTCCAGGTTCAATTCCAGTCAAGGGCATGTACCTTGGTTGCAGGCACATCCCCAGTAGGGGATGTGAGGGAGGCAGCTGATTGATGTTTCTCTCTCATCGATGTTTCTAACTCTCTATCTCTCTCCCTTTCTTTCTGTAAAAAATCAATAAAAATATATTTTTTAAAAAATAAATAAATAAATAAAATAAAAGGCAATAGTAGTATAATCATGTGTAAATACAATAATAAATTAAGGGATAGACACCCACACACAAAAGATGTAAAATATAATGACAAATACAAACAAGAGGGTAATAAATAAATTGTAGTGCTTTAAGAACGCGTTCAAACTTAAGCAACCATCAATTTAAAATAGACTGCCAAAATATAGTTTGTATATCTGAATCTCACAGTAACCACAAAACAGAAGCCTGTAACAGATATGCAAAAAATAAAGAGAAAGGAATCCAAACAAAGCATTATAGAAAGTCATCAATGTTCAGAGAGCAAAAGAAGAAACAGAAGAATAACAAAACAACCAGAAAACAGTTAATAAAATGGTAAATAACTACATAATATTCATTACTACTTTAAATGTAAAGGAGTTCATCATCACCAAACCAGTATTACATAAAATTTTAAAGGGTCTTCTTTAAGAATAAGAACAAACTATCAA